GTTTCTGAGGCAGTATCACTACGGAAGTAGATTGCCCCATCTTCCTTCCAAGGAGTGGCTGGTGGGTTTGAACCTCCAGCCTTCTGGTTAGCAGTCAGGCCTTAGGCACTATGCTACCAGAGCTCCTGAAATCCTGAGCTCTGGTAGCACAGTGCTTAAGGCACCTGACTGCTAACCAGAAGGCTGGCAGTTCAAACCCACCAGCCACTCCTCGGAAGGAAGATGGGGCAATCTATTTCCATAAAGATTTACCTCCTCAGAAATACAGTGGGGGTCACTATGAACTAAAATCAACTCGATGGCAGTGGGTTTGGTTTTATATACATATACTCTATATATATATATACCTCAAAAGTTCTTTGGAGTACTGTCAAACAAGGAAGCTCACCCACTTGACTTAGCTGATCTCAGTTTCCAGCTCCTTAGGAATTCAAGCCGTGTCTTAAAAACACTACCTTACAGCACCATGTTGGTATGGCTCAGAATTTCCACCTTAAATCACATTGTTACTCTCTGGCAGCTCCCCAGGTACACAAAGGCACTCCTATTACACATGATATTCCAAGGGTTCAGAGATTATTCACAGTAGCCCAAGACAAAAGCCAGACCTCTCTCTGGGCTAGAGTCAATTATTTTAAAACATATCAAAGAGATACACTTCTTGGAGAGAACAATCATGGGAGAAAGAAGGGCTGCTTATGCACAAGGAGACAGCTCAGGGGGCAGGAGTGTATGGAGGGATGGACACTGGGAAGAGCTAACTATGGGGAAGAAGTGGGAGAGGAGCTGTTGCATTGTGGTAAACTGACATGAGACAAAGTATATGTGAAATGCTGTATGGAAAGTGAATTTGCTCTGTACATCTTCACCCACATCACAATAAAAAAAAATAATAATAATAAAACATATCAAAGATAGGACAATCACGAGTCCCTAGAATATTCCAACTTCATAAACAACAAGTGCCACTCTCTGTATCCTCTGTCTGTGTAATGTAGAAAACATGTGCTGGATATTGTATAAACATCTCTCAGATAACTCTACTGTCTAACACTCTAAGACGTGAATCTTGAAATAAAACACACACACATGTTAAGAAACAATATATATCCAAGTTATCAAATGAGGGATTTTTATGTCCTAACCCTGTAAATGATGTCCATCACTCCACATTTAACAAGCACTTTTGTGACAGGCACTAAGAAAAGTATACAAGCTACCACTGTCAATCACTCAGAAAGGGATCAGTGCAGGATATACTGGATAGAGTGGGAGAAAAACATGGAACTGAACTCAAAATCATAAAAAAAAAAAAGACCAGGTTTATTGGTCTGATAGACCCTGGTGAGACCCAGAAACTATAGCCCCCAGCTACCCTCCAGGTCTGGTAGTGAACTCACTTCCAGCCTTCCAAGGCTTCCAGCCAAACAGTAGACCTATAGGGTGAATATTTACATCAGGTAGATATACTCCTTAGAATGATCAATCATGGGAGAACAGAAAGGCAGTATTTGCATAGGGAGATAGCTCAGTGGGCAGGAATGCACAGGAAAGAAGGACAGAGGGAAGAGGTAACTACAGAAAAGAAGTGGGAAAAGAGCTGTTACAATTATTTTTTAATTGCAGGAAGTGGGAAGAGAGCTGTTACAGTGTGGGGAACTACAGTCAATGTCATGAAACAAAATGTGTATGAACTGCTGTATGGAAAATGAATTTGCTCTGTAAACTTTCACCCAAATCACAATAAAAATTTGAAAAAAAAGGAAGAGTATATAAGGGAAAGTTATTGACCTCAAGGAGGTACTAAGTAGTGATAGAGAAGCAAACAAGCAATTACAGTACAATTCAGTATAACACATGCTAATGGTTTAAGCAGGAAATTTACATCGACTAAATTCTCCATGCTCAAGGCACTATAAAATGAACTCCCAATCAAAAAACAAAACAAAACAGATGTGACTAATAGAATGATGCCTTAATAACTACTAGCTGTCTTCTAAGGAGCCCTGGTGGTGTGGTGGTTCAAACCTAGCAGCCGCTCCACAGCCTTCCATAAAGATTTATCACCTCTGAAACCCAATGGGACTTGCTGTGAGTCACAACTGACTCGATGGCAGTGAGTTAACTGTCTTCTGGTTGATTCTGACTCATGGCAAGTCCATGTATGTCAGAATAGAACTGTGCTCCGTAAGGTTTGCAATAGCTGATATTTCAGTAGCTCACCAGACCTTTCTTCCAAAAAGTCTCTTGGTGGATTCAAACCGCCAACCCTTCTGTAACCAGCCAAGCACATTAACTGCATTACCCAGGGACACCAAACTGGTACCTTACTGACAGCTAATTACCAGCAGCCCAAGCTCAGCTTAGTTAAGGGGTCTTGTTAAAAACAACTCAGTTTAGTTAAGGAGGGGGGACCATATGATTTCAGGCACTGATATTCAGGAAATGAATCATTCTTGCCAGCTTCAGGAAGAGCTCTCCAGTAGGCAACATGGGGAGAAAAAACACAGGATAGAAGGATAAGGCAGGTAGCAGGGTAAATTCTTTTAGGAATGAAGATGAATAAAGGGAGAAGGAGCAGGAAGTCTGACCTTGAACTGTCAATAAAAAAGAAATTACTATGTAAGCAAAGAAACACAGATGACTGGAAGAGTGAAACTTATCAAAGGCTGTAGAGAGCAATTCTGTGAACCATAATTATATCCAGAAACATCTCGGAGGGTTTTCCCCCTTCTTTCCTCTAGCACTAGGAATCAATCTGTATATACTTTCTTTTTTCCAAACACCCACTTGGGTCATTTAAACAGAGTAACTGGGGTAACAGCAAGGATAAAAGGAAGGAAAAGTGAGTAGACTGATTAGGAAAACTGCTATTTGTGAGTAGAGTAATTACATAAACATTTTCATGGGCTCAGTTTTAAGATGGCTTTTTAACTACAGAGGAAATTAAAGATGACAAAAAATGATATGAATCCCTCAAAATATAACTGAGCTCAAGTTCCTTTTTTGAAAAAAAAAAAAAAAAAATAGTAGTTCACTTTTGAAATGAGAAAGCTGAGAACCAGTAAGTGTGTAGAGGCTATGGTGAGAGAGCTAGTTTAATAGCAGACTTAATGTCATTCTCTTTACTATAACATTGTCCCCTGAGCAATACTGTAAGTCAGTAATTCCCAAACTCAGCTGCTCATCTGAGTCAGCTGTGGAAATTGTTCTTTGTTTCAATTTAGTTTCCCAAGCTCTATCTCCAGCCATAGGAGCTCTGGTGATATATTTGGTTAAAGCATTTGGCTGCTAACCAAAAGATCAGTGGTCCGAACACAAGCAGCCACTCCATGGGAGAAAGATGAGGCAGTGTGCTTCCGTAAAGATTTACAACCTTGGAAACCCTCTGGAGCAGTTTTACTCTGTCCTATAGGGTCACTAAGAGTCAGAATCGATTTGCTAGCAGTGGGTTTACTCCCAGTCATACTGAATCAATGGGTTTAGGTCAGTAAATCACATTCATAATATTTGATTCTGATTCAACAACAATTATCTTTTAAAAACCAGTACTGGTTATAACTATGAGACTGAACTATATGAAATTGCCATTTTTGGTTAAGATTAAAAAGGTCAAATATTGGCAGTTTCATATGGTTCAACTACATGCTGCTCACTTACTATATGTTCTGTTCTTTGATGGATGCTTATAGCAACCATAAGTCTGGAACGAAAATTAGTTCCCATTTTACAATTGGGAAACTGAAGCACAGGATCTTCCCAAGATCACAGACCTAATAGGTAGCAAAGGTCAAATTCACATGCAGACAAACCAAAAAAAAAAAAAAACCACCAAACTCACTGCCATCAAGTAAATTCTAACTCATACTGATCCCCATTGGGTTTCCAAGGCAGTACATCTTTATGGAAGTAGAGTGCCCCATTTTCCTTCCACGGAGCAACTGGTGGGTTTGAACCACCAACCTTCTGGTTAGCAGACAAATGCCTTAGACACTGCACCATCAGAGCTCTCAA